ATTTTTTCTTTCCAAAGCTTGCCTTGAATAATGTTACAAAGCGTATCTGAATTATCTTCAAGTGTCTTCATGTAATTCAAAATTGTTTTCAAAACATTTGGTAATTCAAGAAACCCTTTCAATACTGAACGAAGAGGAATAAACTGTCCATTAACAAGAGTTGGTACAATCGCAATTTCACTTCCAGAATTCTTTTCATCTAAAGTAGTTCCTATTACATATGTTTCGGGCTTAAAAAATGATCCACAAAAGATTCAAACTGTTTCATACGTGAATAGTGACTTTCAAATTCATCAAACGTACTTTGGCATGAATCGAACGTCCTTATTATTTCATTTATTTCATAAAGAGAAATTTCTTTTTGCATTCTGGCTTTAACTAATAATTTTAAAACATGTTTCTTTAAAATTATTAAAAATCCAGCTCCTAAAAGAGTTTTGTGACAATCAATAACTTGTTGAATTTCGTTTTCAGTTAATGTAAAGCTATCGTACAATGAAGCAACATAGGTGATAACTAGACTGCGGAACTTTATGCAAAATACTTAACTGAATATTAACTATCGGACAGTTTTAGCAGTCAATCGTTGTTCGTTAAAGAGTTATTAAAAGGTGAAGTAAAAAGATTGAGATTGCCATCTGTAAATTTACAAAATTGCAAAATATGCATTTTATGCAAAACATTCAGTTAAGTATTTTGCATAAAGTTCCGCAGTCTAGTGATAACAGCATTTGTTAAAGTCTGATGAAAATCGTTACTATTGTTGATTTCACAAAGTTCAACATGAGAATCAGAAATGATCTCATCTCTCTTACAGTTATATGACTCTATAAGACTTGTCTTATTATCATTTGCTTGTGAAACATGAGAAGAAGTACATTCCTGTTGCATACTTGGATATTTTGATTCATGGCTTTTAACATGTTTATTATAAGCTGAAAAATTATTAAAAACTCGTTAAACAATTACACCAACAACATACTAATCTTTTCATTTCATTTAAATGAAAGAATCGTATATGACTAAAAACAGCCTCTGCTGCATTATACTTTTTGTTACAAACAAAGCACTTAAACATGTTTAAAATAAATACATAATCTCAAAATATTATATTATTAAATGTGGACGGGTTTTATAATACTATTGATTGTGTATTAACAAATCAAAATGCCAGTATGAAACTTATATATATATTATAAACTTAGTTATTATAGAAACTTACTTAAACTTAATTATATTATCTTAATATTATGTTATATAACAGGTAACAATAAATGAAAATTTTTTTTTACAAAAATATAATAAAGATTTAGAGTACTATTTGATTCAATCGACTGATAAGTGTAGTTACATTTGTAACTGATCGTTCACCTACCAAGTAAATATCATACAGAGCTCTTTGAATGAATAACCATATATAATATGCTTCTATTTGGTATTCAGCACCAAAAGTAAAAAATGATTTAAAACAAATGTCAACAGCTTGCAGAACACTTCCTACTTTCCATAATGTACCGTTGATACAGACATATGCAGCAGTGACTGAATTTTCCACATTTCCGATAACAATTATATAAGGCTGGACAGTAGCACTCATGGAGGCATAATAATCATTTCGTTTTTTTATAGCATTCAATACATCACCACCAATCTATAACAATAATCACAAAATTATTACTTTGTAACAAGAAAATGAAAGTAACAAAATAATAGAACAAGTACATGTGCACATATCTGGTCACTGGAACGTTTATCTTTACATACTTACTTGCGAAATGAGATTCGAGATGAGACATATCGATACTCTGAAGTATTTCTTGTAGGCTTATAAATTTCGGATCCATTGTGCACTGATCAATATTGATGAAGAAGTATAAACACACGACAAACACGGAATGAAACACAACTCAACACAACTCGCGTATTATTGCGTGTTATGTTGCCGCCGCAGTTTCATTACAAATGATCTGGAGACACTGGTAGTGTCTCGGCGCTAAGCCAAGCGCAGCGACACTG